ATATTTTTTTGTCATTACTTTGGCACGGTCATTAATTGAAAAGGTGAATAAACAATTTTTTGTAACAATTGACTTGATTGAAGTCATTGAGCACTCGAATAAGTGCTCTTGAAGATTATAGCAAATGGGTCGAGGAGTTGGATCCCCATTGTGAAGCGAAGATGGGGGCAAGGATCAAGGAGAGTGGATAATCATCCAGGTATGTACACACTGTTTGTGGAATTACATGTAAATTCAAGCCAAGGGCTTAAGGTGTAAATGAGTTAGTACTCTTTTGTTGTAACCAAGTGTTAACTTGGAAAGCTGTAAGCCCATAGGGCATTTTGCTTTTGTTGTTAACATGTAATACTTTTGTAATCAAACTCTGATGAATAGAAGAATGTGGTTATTTCATATGTTAATGAATGTCTTATTTGATGGGTTTAATGTTATTATTTTTTTTGAGGGCGTTACAATGTTTAATTCCTTTGAGTGTGTTTTATTGAATATATATGCATCGAATGATGTGGGTGGTAGAAGAAAGCTTTGGGGTAGTTTGCTTAATCAGAAACAAGGTTTTCCTAAACCATGGTGTCTGTGTGGGGATTTTAATGAAGTTAGGAATATTGGTGAGAGGAAAGGTTGCTCCAGAAGAGAGAGGGGTATGAATGAGCTCAATGAGTTCATTGAGAATAGTGAAGTACAAGACCTACCTTTATTAGGAAGAAAGTACACTTGGTGTAATTCCAGGGAAGGGGCCAAATGGAGTAGGATAGATAGGGTGTTGGTGGATCCAAAATGGTTGGAGGGATTTCAATTAAAATTATGGGGATTACCTAGGCTCATCTCATATCACATTCCACTACTATTGATGGAAGATGAAAGGGATTGGGGTCCGAAGCCGTTCCGGCTTCTAAATGCTTGGTGTCTATATCCAAATTTATCATCCTTTGTGGCTAAAGTTTGGAAGGATTCGGAACCTAATGGTTGGGCTGGATTCATATTACAGCAAAAACTGAAGGATTTGAAATAAGCGCTTCGCCAATGGAATAAGGAGGTGTATGGGTCTATGCCTAACAAATTGAAAGCGGTAGAGGAGGAAGTTCATATCCTTGATCTTCAAGCAGAGAGCAGAAAGTTGGATCAACAAGAGAGAGTTAGAAGAAGAGCAGCTTGTGAAGAGGTATGGAGACTTCATAGAATGATGGAGTGGACGTGGTTACAAAAATCAAGACTAAAATGGAATTTGAAAGGGGATCAAAATACCAGATTTTTCCATGTGATGGCCAAGGGTAGACAATGTAGAAATGAAATAACATCCATGGTCGTTGGTGGCTCAGTGCTTGAGGATCCTCGTCAAGTGAAGTCTGCAATTTTTGAGCACTTCAAGAAGCAATATTCTGAGGAATGGATGTTAAGACCTAAGTTAGGAGGCCTATTTAAATCAGTGAGTAGCAGTCCCTATTTTGATGAGTTGGAAACTGAGTTCTTAGAATCAGAAATTCTGGCAGCAGTGAAGGATTGTGATGGTAACAAGGCACCTGGCCCAGATGGTTTCAATATGTTATACTTCCAAAAAATTTGGAAGGTGATAAAAGGTGAAGTTCTTAATTTTATGAAGGAATTCTATAGGAATGGCAGATTGGTGAAAGGTTTGAATAGCTCCTTTATTACTCTTGTCCCCAAGAAGGAAAATCCTGTGGGATTAGCAGATTATCGGCCAATCAGTTTAGTGGGATCAGTCTACAAAGTCCTAACTAAGGTCCTGTCAAGAAGATTAAAAGAAGTGCTACCCTGCATCATTTTTGAGACCCAATCAGCCTTTATATGAGGGAGGAACATATTGGATGGGGTTCTGATTGCCAATGAAGTGGTAGATGGGTGGAAGCAATCCAAGAAGCAAGGTGTGATCATTAAACTTGATTTTGAGAAGGCGTATGATTCAGTCAACTGGGGGTTCCTACGTTCTATGCTCCTGAAGTTTGGATTTGAGGTAAGATGGGTTAAATGGATTATGGAGTGTGTTAGTACGGGTAGAATTTTAGTACTGGTAAATGGGTCTCCAACTAATGAGTTTAGTCCTCAAAGGGGCCTGTGACAAGGTGACCCTCTGTCCCCCTTCCTGTTCAACTTTGTTGCTGAAGGTCTCAATATGTTACTGACAAGAGCATACAATTTGGGAATTATTAAAGGGGTGCAAATTGGTGCAGATGATGTGAGGCTGTCTCACTTGCAATTCGCGGACGATTCTATCCTTTTTTGTGAAGCTAAAGATGAGGAGGTTAGAAGCTTGAAGAGGATCTTGAGGTGTTTTGAGGTGATGTCGGGCCTGAGGATTAATTATCATAAGAGTCAGGTTTGTGGAGTGGGTGTGTCAGATGAATCTTTAGCTACATTTGCATCTATTTTGAATTGCAAGATCAAGAAGCTGCCTATGCTATATTTAGTCCTGCCTCTTGGGGCTAATCCTGATAGAAAGCAAACTTGGAAACCAGTGTTGGATAAGATTCATAGCAGGCTAGGTAGCTGGAAAAGAAAGCTTTTATCTTATGCTAGGAGGTTAACCTTAATCAAATCTGTAACTATATTGATGCCAGTATACTATTTATCCTTGTTTAGATTACCTCAAGGGGTAGCTAAAGTGATTGAAAGGCTGCAGGCTTCTTTCCTTTTGAGGGGGTCTGAAGTGAGGAGAAGGGTACACTTGGTCAAATAGGCTGATTTGTCAAAAAGTGTGGATCAAGGGGGACTGGGGCTGAGAAAAGTAAAAATGATGAATGGCTGTCTACTAATCAAATGGTGGTAGAGGTGTGGGTATGAAAAAGATGCACTGTGGAGGAAGGTTATTTATAGCAAGTACAAGGTGGACTTTAGTGATTGGGTGCCCACTTCATGCACAAGGCCTAGTGCATCTAGTGTTTGGAAAGGTATAATCAATATTGCTATGTCTGATAGCCCACTCCTACAGTTCTACATGAATAATTGGTAGTTAAAGGTTGGGGATGGGAGCAGAGTAAAGTTTTAGTTAGACAAGTGGTGTCATGCCACCTGCTTCAGAGAGGAATATCCTGGCTTATTTTCCTTAATCTTGGATAAGGAGGTGTCACTAAGAACAATGTATGAGAGAAAGGAAAATGCAGGGGACTACGTATTTAATTTTAGAAGAAGGCTCTATGATTGGGAAGATTGTGAGGTCACAAGGCTCAAGAATCTCCTGGGTGCTGCACCTGCTTTGTTGGTCAATCAGGTTGATAAACCAGTGTGGTTAGCAGCAGTAACATTCTCAGTGTCTTCTCTACATAATGGGGTTTCTGCTAATGCTAGTTCTCAATTGAGTATTTCTAAACTAGTGTGGGTTAAATACTTGCCTCCCAAAGTCCAATTTATGGGATGGCTTGCATGGTAGAGTAGATTAAAGACTTTAGTTTTTTCTCCAAAGAATTGGTGTGCTTCAAAGTAATGTATCAACTCTATGTGTATTTTGCAAAGCTGAGTTTGAAACTATGAATCATGTCATGGTGTCCTGCCTTTTTGCATCATCTGTGTGGGTTGAAATGTTGAGTTGGTGGGATGTCCAAGGGGCCTTACCTGGAACTGTTGAAGGGTTGCTTCTATGGTGGGATGGGGAGGTGCTCAGCTGTAAGGAGAGAAAGATTTAGAGGGGCATACCTCTGGTTGTGTTGTGGGCATACCTCTGTTTCATCAATAAAGTGTCTCTTCTTTGCTAATTCAAAAAAAAAAAAAAAAACCAGAGTTATTAGAACTGTTGAAAGCCCCCATTTTTCTATAGCCTGTGATACCGATATCATTATAGCTGTGAACTCCAAATGTAGTAGAATTGTAGCTCAACACGCCATTATGAAAGCTTTGTGTCTGTGGTGCTAGTTGATTCTTTTGTTGGTGCATTTCGAGCAAATTTGGACCAATCATGAGGCCAGTGCCACCTAAAGTATTTCCATGGAGCGACAAACTGGTTTTGATGATTATAAGGACGTTTTGCACTACCATTGCCAATGGTTGGTTTCTTCAAATTACCTTGATTGCATAGTAGACACTACTACAAAAACAGATAAAGATTACACTTTTTTGGTGTGATGTATGTTATTTAATCACACCTTTTAAGTTTTATAAAAGTGTGATCTTTGGGAGTGTGATTAAAAATGGTCATTTTTAATCACACTTTTTAAGTGTGATTAAAAACATTTAGATCACACATTTTAAGTGTGATTAAAAACATTTAGATCACACCTTTTAAGTGTGATCTTTGGAAGTGTGATTAAAAACGGTCATTTTTAATCACACTTTTTAAGTGTGATTAAAAACATTTAGATCACACCTTTTAAGTGTGATCTTTGAAAGTGTGATTAAAAATGGATCTCCTAGGTGCTGCACCTGCTTTGTTGGTCAATCAGGTTGATAAACCAGTGTGGTTAGCAGCAGTAACATTCTCAGTGTCTTCTCTACATAATGGGGTTTCTGCTAATGCTAGTTCTCAATTGAGTATTTCTAAACTAGTGTGGGTTAAATACTTGCCTCCCAAAGTCCAATTTATGGGATGGCTTGCATGGTAGAGTAGATTAAAGACTTTAGTTTTTTCTCCAAAGAATTGGTGTGCTTCAAAGTAATGTATCAACTCTATGTGTATTTTGCAAAGCTGAGTTTGAAACTATGAATCATGTCATGGTGTCCTGCCTTTTTGCATCATCTGTGTGGGTTGAAATGTTGAGTTGGTGGGATGTCCAAGGGGCCTTACCTGGAACTGTTGAAGGGTTGCTTCTATGGTGGGATGGGGAGGTGCTCAGCTGTAAGGAGAGAAAGATTTAGAGGGGCATACCTCTGGTTGTGTTGTGGGCATACCTCTGTTTCATCAATAAAGTGTCTCTTCTTTGCTAATTCAAAAAAAAAAAAAAAAACCAGAGTTATTAGAACTGTTGAAAGCCCCCATTTTTCTATAGCCTGTGATACCGATATCATTATAGCTGTGAACTCCAGATGTAGTAGAATTGTAGCTCAACATGCCATTATGAAAGCTTTGTGTCTATGGTGCTAGTTGATTCTTTTGTTGGTGCATTTCGAGCAAATTTGGACCAATCATGAGGCCAGTGCCACCTAAAGTATTTCCATGGAGCGACAAACTGGTTTTGATGATTATAAGGACGTTTTGCACTACCATTGCCAATGGTTGGTTTCTTCAAATTACCTTGATTGCATAGTAGAAGTGATTGGGTGCATCCGAATCGAGGCATGGAGAAGTTGGTAGATGAAGCTTCCTGGGTAGAACAACATGAAATATTATTGCCAAGGTTGGGAACTGGGACATACCCTCCATATCGCAGCTGCGATCTATTGAACATTGAGGAAGAAGGTCGTCCTGATGCGAAAGTTGATCGAAAGGTCCTTTCAACCATGTTCCTTTCATTGGCAGATTGAATTTTATAGCTTGCTTCAGGAACTCGCTTCAAGAAAATTCAATACTTCTGCAAATTCATCATACTCATTCCATCATTATTGAGTTTAGACAATGATTGCTGCTACAAAGTACTAAGAACTACAATTATTTCACTTAGATCTTGCTCCTCGTTGATCTCAGTCATTGGTTGTTGTTGTCGTAACAGTTGCGGTGGGCGGTTGTAGTTATAGATATAAAGGATGTAGCGTAACAGTTGCGGTAACTAGAATAGTGATTTTTGTTTTATTTTTCGCACAATTTTAAAAAAAATTACCGATACACATACTTTTTTTTTTAGATTCACATTTATTGGGGTTTAAAATAGATTTTGACCAATTTTTGTTAGTTTTTAAGTACGATCCAATATATTTCATATTTTTAAATCACTATAAAAGGAGCTTTTAATTTTATTTCAATAGTTAATGAGTTTAAAACAATTAATTTTAAATGTCTACAATTTTTTTTTGACCAATACCTGAACTAACTGAATAAAAAAAATTCACAATTATTAATAGAATAGCTCACCCCTTTTACTTGGTATTTTGCCCATAAGGCTGTGTGCATTAATATAGATTCACATAAACCTTCCCAATTAACACAAACCTTCCTACTTTATAGCTAGCTAAATAAAATTGTTTACAAAATAAAAAATATTTATAATTAAACATTAAATAAAATGATTATAAAAATAAATACAACCACTCTTTATATATTTTTTATTTTACATGTTAATGTAATGAAATAAAAATTAAAAAATAAATTATAAAGAATAAAAATTCATATAAGATTTTTTTTCTTTTTTTTCCGGTTTGGATCACTTAAATATTTGTTCTTTTTTTTTTGTAAGTTTTTATTATTATGTTTTTCTTTTTTTTTCTTTTTTTTTTTTTATAGGAAACTATTCAAAATATTATAAAAGTGTGTAATGAACTGTTACGGTACTGCTACTATGTAACACCGCCACGACTGGTCCATTTGGAAGTTAAAAAATGACTGTATTTTTAATAGAGTGCAACCTAGTGGGTTTGAGTTGTGTGAGATTATTATGATCAGATTTGCTTTCTGGATTAAAGCTTCATCATAGGGGATCATGTACTCTGTCATGGACTTAATCAACAATCTGGATCAGATTAAGAATTGAAGTTGAGGGCTGCTAGCTGGTTTAGTACCTTGGCCTACCACCATCTGGTGTGTATGGCTTGTTATCTGGTTTGTATGGCAGCAGGTTGGTGCTTTGGTCAGCTACCTCATTTTGTCAACTAATGTATGCAGTTTAGCTGTTATGGAGTTAGTTGTGGTTGCTGTTAAGGTGTTTATGTGGTGTGTTCCGTATTATTGCTCCTCTGTTTTGTCCGATCCTCACCAACCTTGGACCTGAGTTTGCACGTGTGTTCCTCTTAGAGCCACCCTAGTTGGGATTATGATGAATCACTTTGATGCTTCTTGTTTCTTGCCTTTCTTTTATTCAAGTAATCTCAAACTTAGTATGGTTTTTCTTCTTTATCAATAAAGTTCCTTCATTTGCTGATAAAAAAAAAAAGAACATACCACCGAAACGACCGTTACAAATGTGAATTTCTATCATACCGCTATAGCGCGTGTAACAAGTGGTGGTAAGTACCACAACCGTTATGTAACCGCATTACGTAACGGTTGCGGCTGCTTTTAAAATTCTTGGTTGCAGTGGATAAAGTTTTCTAGTATCTCCAATTGTCTAGGTTTTTTTATTTTCCTTCTTGATCAACACATGCAAAAGTACCTACATTGTTTACTTTAACTACTTATTTATAGTATTTTTGGTACTTGAAAGATTATGCATCCAATTTCAAGTATATGAAGTAATTTTGGTAATAAGGGATGACCATTTATTTGTAATTTAGTGTTTCATGAGCAAAGTAGCACAAGTTTTGGTGTGTGTATAGATCATCAATATTCTTATGTTACTAAGTTGCATATCTTAAGCTTGTAGATTGACATGTTAAAATAGAAATGTTTGAGGTAAGTTCAATTTTCTAGACCGTTTTGCTTCTGAATTTTTAGTTTATTACAAAAGAAGCAAGACTGTATATTAATATAGATTTAAGAGATGACAAACTGAGTTATATATAAAAGATAAATCATTTGTAACGAAATATAACAAACCTGTAAATGACTGGAAACATTTTCTCTAGTTAATCCTAGCACGTTCATGAGCTCAAGAATTTTCTTTGGAACAGCCCCTGAATATTATTAAAAGAAAAAAAAATAGAAAAAAAAAATCAACAAGGGTATCATCATAAAGTAAATGGGAGAGCTATGAATATACAAGTCAAGATCAAAGAATTAGAAAAATTAGATAGAGAAGTCTCTTACTTTCAAGGCCTGTGCTTTTAATGGCTTCCAAGAACTGGTTGTGGATTGCATTTGTCCAGACAACCTTTGCCTTCTTCGGGGTAGTACAATCATCCTTGTTTTCTTCCTTGTCATAATTGTTTGTGTCCTTTGTCGGGGTTTTTCTCTTAGACTCCTTTGTGCTTTTCCTATACTCGTTTGCAGACGATGTAGACTCTACATCATCATTGGAACCTTTGTCAGTTTGGGATGTTTCTTGAACCGACATTTCTTTGTCACTCCCAATTTCCTCGATAATGGTTTTGCCTTTCTTCTTTGCAACTGTATATTGCCATAAATTTTTCAAGTCATCTCGAGCAATCGGTTTTACTATAAAAAATGCACCTCCGCTTTGTAACCCCTTTAATATGATACCGTCTTTGTCATCAACCGACATAACAGCATTAGAAAAAAAACTGGCCACAACCCAACAAAAGTTTAATATATACTAAATAAGATCTGCAAATGTTTAAGTTACAATTACGTATCCCAATGGAGTACATACAAAAAAGTTCCCTTATTGACTATGTTGAGGTGTGGTGATGTGATACTAGTGGTTTCGTCATATATTTGCTATTACAAATCTTTTTAATTTTATCCTAAGAAGTGAAAACGGCTACATTGCTGCTATGAATTAATCGGAAAGAAATTAAAGTATGACAGTAAAAGTGTCTTCGTTTCTCTTGTTAGGATCCAATATAGAAAAGGATCGATAGCCAAAAAGGCTTGACAAATTGGGGGGCCAAAAAAAAAATTTAGTCAACTCTATTGGATTATCAATTTCAATGCAACAATGTGAAAGTTGTAATTTCTTTTTTTCAATAGTAATAGTTTAAAATGATATATATATATATATATATCCTCAAATGAATTACAGTACTATTAAACAAGATGTTTTATTTACTGTTTTATGTATTAGTAAATTTCAAGATGATACTTTAAATCAAAAATTTTTACTTCGTGTTGATTGTAAATCTGCTAAATATGTTTTAGAAAAAGATGTTCAAAATCTTGCTAGTAAGTAAATTTTTGCCCGATGGCAATCTATATTAAGTATTTTTTATTTTGACATTAAATATATTCTTGGTTGTCAAAATTCTATTCCTAATTTTCATACCAGAGAATTTTTGCAGGGTGGATCATAATGCCTATTCCCTCTATTTCATCCCATAAACAGAAAATTAAACACTACAAATCCCTGATTAAGCATACTACTAGTGGCCTTGCCTTTCTCCAATCAACCCATTTACCTTCTAAAAGAGCCCAGTACATACAATTTCATCGGATTAAAGCTCAGAAACAACAACTTGCTCATTATATTAAATGTTTACACGAACATATTGATCAATTAGATATCCTCAGTGGATGCTAATTTATCTCCTCTATTTCACAGATGTCTCGTCCACGGCCTCCTTCTAAAGCCTTGGTCCCATCTAGAAAACTGTTTGTTCCTCCTCTATTGGAGTTAGTCACCAAATACCATCCTGCTAAATTGGTTAACCGTTGCCAAATTCTTGGTAACATTCCTAAACCTAGTTATACATCTGCTTTGGCTACTAATCCTTTTGCTTTACCTAGTCAAGAAGTTACTCCATACCCTCCTAATCCTATTAAATCAACCCGATCTGATTATGTTAAATCTACCACTACTAATCCCTTTTTCAAAGAACCTAGTCACCCAAAGAGTCATACTGTTCATGATCTGGTTAAATCTTATTTTCCTCCTGGATGGCATTTTGTACCTCTCTATCCAGAAAAGACAATTACCTTCTACGAAGACATCCTGTTCAACCATCAGTCTATTGTGATTAAACCCATTTATGATTGCACATACACAAGTAAAATTGTGTACCATTCACTCTACATTCACAACTTTGTTTCTCTAGATGATTGGGGTTCTCCTTACCGACTCAGAGATTTGCCTGGTCATTCAATTCAATACGGATACTATGATTACATTGATGCTTGGTTCAAAGTTATTTTGTATCAAAATGAGTCAAATAGTCACTCTTGGTTTCTCCAATTTGATCAAAAGTTCAAATCCGAATTACCTACTTGGTTTCTGCGATGGTGGACTCAGTATGGCGCCATTTCAGAAATCTTTCCGTCTGTTATTGTCACGACCCCATTCCGCCCGTAGGAGAATAGTGCCGTGATGGCCAGTAATCCGAGATTACCAAAGGCCAACTTACAAAGGTTCGCACACAATCAGAGTATACATATGGGGCTTACATGTGCGGAAGCAATAAATTTCAAATCTAAATAGTCCATATGAGTTGTGCATAGATCAAATGAAATGACATACATCTCAACATGGCTTACAACATGGATACAAATAAAATAAGGTACACATCTTGATCAAAGGCTTCTCAAGCCGAAATATACAAAAAACATGTAATACAAAGCTAAGAAGCATAATCTTCAAGATGCTAGCAAAAACATGAATCCCAAACATCTTGCAAAACTCATGTAGGCGTCACCGCCTTCTGGCTCGTCACCTACGTATATATAAGGAGAGGGTGAGCTTGGATACTCAGTGACTAATATTAGTAATAAAGGTTTGAATGAATGATACCCGAGATCTTTATCAAAACAATACATATCATAGCTTGTACAAAATCAAGGGATGAATCAAGTTCATCTATCAAGTCTTTCAAAACTTCAAGGGATGCTTATTAGCATCAATTTAATACAAGGGATGACATTCTTGACAAAACAAGGGAATAATCGACCCGGAATCGATTAGACAAACCCACCCGCACAAGGTCGTCGGTGGCAAGGGAGATATCTCAAACAAGGGTACTAGTTGCATTATAGTCCCCTAGCACTAAGGACTTTCCAAGAATGTCATCAAAGCAAGATAATACTTGATACAAAAACTAGGGATAATCATTCATACTCGAGCAAACACTTTTCCAAAACAAAGCTTTTATCAAAACATTAGAACATAGCTTTATCAAAAATACCGCTCACATAGCTCTTCGGGTGTGGAGATTAAAGCAAGGATCCAAGGCCTACAAGTACATAGAAAAACCTCATTGAATGCATTTCAAGAAGACAAGAAGAGTTGCTCAAAGATGGATATGAAATGCATTCCTAAAACAAGCTCTGCATGAGTGCAAATGATCTCAGCACGTCTTTCAAACTAAGTCGGGACAAGCAACACATGTGCTGGGAGTTAAAACACTGTTCCTCGTCTTGGGAAAACATGCTGGGTACCAACCAGGTCTTGGCCGAGGTCTCACATCTCTTGGCCGAGGTCCCACACCTCTTGGCCGATGTATGGTCCCGTTGACCACATTCAGGGAAATGAAGTCTGGAAATTCTGGGTTTCTTTTGAAGAACATGAATGCTAAAATCATAACTTCTTTATTCAAAATCTAAGATTTCATGATATGAGTTCAAAAGCATGGACCTGGGTACCCGTACTGGAAGATCCTCTGAAAAGAAACACAAAAATAGGGCTCTTGATACAACCTCCCGGATCAAAACATGGTTTTATTTCAAAAACACAAGAACATCATTTTCTCTTTCTAAAACAAGCTTTAAATCAATGCATGGCTCATGAATCATGCTAGATCATGCAATGTGATTGGATAAATATAAAGAACAATAAGAGTAGATCAAGAATCTAACCTCAAGATGCAAATCTAACGGTTCAAACTCTAAGGATCACACTTGGAACCTAGCTCTCTCACTCTAAGAACTCCTCTTCCTCTTCCTAGAGCTTCTCTCTCTCTCTCTCTCTCTCTCTCTCTCTCTCTCTCTCTCTCTCTCTCTCTATCTCTTCAAAGACAAAGATATGACAAAATGACATGTTTTCTCTACTGTCAGCTGACTTAACCCTCTGCCGGGACACGTGGCACTACCGGATTGGGTTTCCTCAAAAAGGTGACTGAATGACAAGACAAGAGCATGACAAAGTGTGTACAATAAGCAAGGTGACAAGGGCACTCTAACAAGGTAAGGACCTCGGGTCAAGACATAGGCTTCGGCAAGTAAGGTCTTAATGATCTCGGCTTGGAAGGATAACACTTCGCCTAGCTGTGCCACACCTCGGCCCAGATATGCCACACCTCGTTCTAGGTCATACTAGTCCAGGAACAGGATCACTAGGTGCAAGGTTCAAGGATGTTGGATGCCTAGATGATAACATCTCGGCCTAGATGATGACATCTCAGCCAAGACACCAAGATGAAGGTGGAGGTCAACCAAAGTGGTTCCAAGATGGTCCTAGGTGTAAGAGGTTCAAAGGTGTGACCTGGGCTTAAGATGACCTCAGCTTAACACACACTAAGCAAGGAACAAAGCCTGAAAGCAACACTTAGACAAAACAATTCAAGGTCTGCAATGCAAGTTTAATCAAGATAAGGATCATGTAAATGCATGTGAGCATGACTAAGACAAAGTGAGGGTTGTTACAGTTATAATGGAACAAGTCAATTATTTCTCCACTGTTTTCTCATTCACTTCACAGCAAAGGAAATTTCCTCTTTTGCTTATTTTTATATTCAAATATAAAATCCCTTAGACATTCAAGTGGCAATGTAGTATTTCTGATGATGTTATTTACCGGCAACACATGGTTAAATGGTGGGATAATTTCAAGATTCAGCGCATTGTTGAAATTATTCAAGCTGAATTCCCAATCAACATTCATGCTCCCACTCCTGCTGTGGTTAAAGCTCAGCAGATCCCAGCTGCTTCATTAACACAAAGAAGCCAACTTCCTCCAGTCAATCTTGGAAGCCCAACATCCAGTTCTTCTAAGCCCAACTCATCCAAATCAACGATTAAATCTAAATCAGCAAAGCCCAGTGTCGATCAGCCCAAGTCAAAGGATAAGTCCAAATCCAAAGTTAAGCCCAAGACCAAGTCATCTAAAGATGAGCTCCTCCAAATGGCTCGTCTCCTTATGGCCCAAGCCAAGTCTGATTTATATAAAATCAGTTCATAAGATGGTTCAGATAGTTCAAACTCTTCTAAAGGATCAACTACTCAAAATCCATATGGACCCGAATTTCAAGATGCTCAGGACCCATATGCCTGACATAAGTCATTGGATTCTTTGTAGCTATAATTATCAGCTTCAATCAATACTCATCTTTCGGGAAAAGCAGCTAATATATATATCTATATTGATTCCCTCAGTCACATGCCTCCTGATGAATAGTGAAAATGGACAAATTGGGTCCTATGGGTCCTGAGCATATGGGTTAACTACAAAGAATCCAATGACTTATGTCAGGCATATGGGTCCTGAGCATCTTGAAATTCGGGTCCATATGGATTTTGAGTAGTTGATCCTTTAGAAGAGTTTGAACTATCTGAACCATCTTATGAACTGATTTTATATAAATCAGACTTGGCTTGGGCCATAAGGAGACGAGCCATTTG